AGTAGGGAGATAGAAAAGGCAAGCTTAAGCAAGGAGAATGAAGGGCATTATAAGATTGCGGACTATGGTCTGTCTCTTTCTGCGAGGAAAGGAAGAGGTGAGGGGAGGGGAGGAGAGGCAATGTCTCATGTCGAGCTGGGAGGGAGGGTTGGATGCTACTGGAAGCTCTAGCCTCTAAAGGCCCCTGCATTCGGGAGGCCCCTGAGATATAGCAACATTGGGATGGGATAGGGTATCTCTCGCTTCCTCTTCTGAGCCATGTTTCCTCACCCCGACGGCGGAGTCCTCCACGTGGGCGAGGGAAGGGACTCAGCTAGGGGTAAGGTAGTGCCCCTACTGAGACCAACTCCATACCCTGAGGGGTGTCACCTTTGTCACTTTGGTTGGTTACAGTTTGGTGGGCCTTTTATACTGATGGGGTGAGAGTGCCGCCAATTCTCTTAACGGCATCCGCACTCTTGCGGTCTTGCTCCACTGGTCCCGTGCCATTGGGTTTCTTTGTTCGGGGGAAGGTGTTGGGGGGGGTGCTCATGGAGTGCCTTCGCCGCCTTCTCTCGAAGCGGTGTCGTGTCGGGCAGCTTCCTGGGTGGGCTGTCGGACGAAGATACTCTCGGTCAAGTTCTTCTCGAGGTTTTTGCGGTAACTTCACACCCAGAGTACCCTCACTCGCTTGTTCACATGCTGTTGCGAGTGTGTCGTCGTTTTCAGCCGGTTCGGAATCGGCGAAATCGGGCCTGTTGACAGCTTCTACGAAAAAGGCGGGTTCGTGGCGGGGGGAGGCGTCGATACGTCGTGGTCGGATTTTGCCTGTCAAGGGATTGGCTGGCACGACTAGCCGAAGGGTGCAGGGGGACACGATCCCCTTGTGGCGGTGTTTTGGCCACATGCCAACACCAATGGCAAGCCCGACCCCCCCTTGCTATGTTTCTGCTTTTTTGCCTGTTCGACAAGGGATGTGCCGGGACCTCTGTAGATCGATTTGACCGTAGGCGAACACTCGCTACGGATGCATTTTTGTTGTTTTTTTCAGATGGGTGAGCGGGAGGTGGGCGATTTGGATTTGCTTTTTCTCTTTGGTTTGGGCTTGTCGCTCTGCTGGTCCAGGTACGTGTATAGTCGCCAAACCAAACACCTGACCTGTCCTGTCCATTTTTCCTCATTTCTTCCTTGTTCCATCCTTTCTCACTCGATTTCGCCCCCCCCCCTTCCCTCGCCTTGTTCCATGCCCTGTCCACATCCTTCTCAAACGAGAAAGCAAGAGAACGATGAGAAGGAGAGGTGAGAGGGACGAAAAAGGCAAGGAAATGAAGATTTCGCCCTGCCCTCTCTGTCACTTTTCTCATCCGCTTTCACCCCTTCCCTCTCATCACTCCATGCTCTATGCTAAGAAAGGAATAGGAGAGGAAGAGAGGAGTGGGAGGAAGAAGATTGGCAGAGGAAAAAGGGACTTCTTCCCTTTCATTTAGCTTTGGCTTACGGTATCCCAAACACCAAAATACAGATGGGTCTTTGGGAGGGGGGCTTGAAAATTCTACAGACTTTAGCAGAGCATATGAAATATTGAACTACTGGACCCCAGGGCCGAGTAAGCGCTCCAGCTGCTTAATCGGGTTGACGATGCCGGGGAACTCTCCCCGAGAATCTTCAATCCTGATCCTTCGGCCTCAAGGCCGATTGAGCGCTCCGCCTGCTTAATCGGCCCTGGGTTTGAAGATTGAACATGCCCGGGAACTCTCCCCGGAGCACCTTCAATCCTGGATTCTCAACCCTGGGCCGACTAGGCAGATGAAGTGCTTAATCGGCAGGGGTCTGGGGTTGAAGATACTCCTGGGAGAGTTCCCCGGCATATTCAATCTTCAATCTTCAATCCAAGGGCCGATTAAGCAGCAGGTGGAGCGCTTAATCGGCCCTGTGTTTGAAGGTTGAAGATTGAAGATGCCCGGGAACTCTCCCCGGAGCATCTTCAATCCGGGGAGAGTTCCCCGGCGTCTTCAATCTTCAATCGTCAAACCCAGGGCCGATTAAGCACTGTCTTGGCCCCCCCTTCACAAAACATATTATCTCTACTTTGTTGTCCAGAAGCAGATGTTGGCGCGTAAGGCCTTTTCACACCCGAAAACATCTCTCAGTCAGCAAAACGCAAAGAGAAAGTACGTAGAATAGGTGCCCACATCAAGTGTGTATATAGGATAAATGTATGGCGTATCAAATACCGATAGCGGAGAACGAACCATGAGACTCAGAAGTATTCGAGCGCATAGGGTAATGCGGAAAATCATTTACTTTAAGCCCCAGGGACACGAGAATACTGTGAGCAAATGTCCTTTCGCGATTTCCTGAGACCTTCCAACAGGCTGCAAGTAATTGCTCGCAAGTATCTTGCTTTTTCATTCTCAATGCTTCCCACAGGTCTCCCATCACGGTTATCATTTGTCAAGGATGATGCTTATTCTCCAATTATCCGCAAGACCCACAGGCGCTTAAAGTCTTACGTAATACTCGTCCAAAGTAACAGGATATCACATCCCGACTACAAAAAGTATACGAAACCTTGGTTTATGTTGTGCGTCTCGTAAGAAGAAATGACATAGCGTGCTACGGGAACTGTGCTGTTAAGCCTTTATATAGCGAGGGTTTAGTGGTTTAGAGTTGAAGGGGAAGGCCAGAAAGTCTTTTCAGATGCCTCGCTGTTTTATTTTTTGTCACCGTGTTTTAGGCGGTTGTACGTCTCGTAGGAATAAATGGTTTCTGATATAGTATGCTACGGGAACTGTGCCGTTATATCTCAATGTACCGAGGGTTTAGGGTGGTTTAGAGTTGAAGGGGTAGGCCAGAAGGTTTTGTTTAGCTACTTTGCTGTTAGATTTTTGTTTTCATTCTTTTCACCTTTTCACCCTTATCTTATCTTCATCTCTTCTCTCTCTCTCTCTATCTTCTTCTTCTTCTGCTGGGCTTGCAGTTCTCCCTTCCTCTCTGTCATTTCTGCGTATTGTTCTTTCCGTTCTTGCTTCTCTTTCTATTTCTCCACTTTCCTTCCTCTCCTTCCTGCTTCTTAGCTTTCCACCAGAAAAAGAAAATGAAAGAACGGCAAGCTCGTCTTGGTTTATCACTGATCACCAATGAGACAGGAGAGAAGAACAAGGAATAGAGCAATGAAGTCGAGGAAGGGGCAGATGATGAGAGCGAGGGCGTCTTGCTTTCCCTGAGCTTTCGGTTCCTTTCATTTGTCCTTTCTTCTTATGAAGAGAAAAGGGAGAAGAGCAGAGGATGAAGGCAAGGGAAGAGAAAACGTGTGAGCCGAGCGAAAGAGGAGTTCTCCCTTCCTGTCCCCACCATCTGCCTTCATCCTATCTTTTCCTTTTTGTTCTCTGTTGTCCTTATTCTCCGCAGAAAGTTTTGGAAAGGAGGGGAGGAAGGAAAGAGGGGAGGGGAGGGATGAGAGAGCAAGAGATGGCAGACAGAGAGAGAGAGAGAGAGAGAGAGAGAGAGAGAGAGAGAGAGAGAGAGAGAGAGAGAGAGAGAGACGAGACAGAGCGAAGAAGAGAGAGAGAGAGAGGGAGATTAACAAAAGAAAAATCTTGAGAGGGAAGGAAAGGAGAGATAAACACATCGAGATGAAGTGGTGTTTTCCCTTTCCCCTTCCTTGGTGTTATATCAGGTAAACAAAAACAATACTAATAGGAAAAGGCTAAAAGCGGCTGAAACAACAATATGGTCATGGGAATATTTATCAACAAAAGAGTATACTATCGTCTTAATTAAAGCAACACACTTGAGGGCGCTCAGGGTTTGTCATTTCCAGCAGCTCCTGTAGTTAGCGTTATTTATGTTATTATTGATTTTTTTAAAGTAGTATATTTATCGCAAACACCAGACCCTTAGACGAGGGTTGAATGGAAAACGGAATGAGAGGTAGGTGGCGAAGCCCTAGGAAAATAAGAGATGTGATGCCAAACATGGGAGCCCTGAGCCGTGAACCGAACTAGCCCTAAGCCATAAATTTTGCCTTAAACCTAAACCCCACAAATTGTATGTGTGAATTGAACCGTTTAAATAGCAAACAAAAAGGAAGTGCCAAATAGACCCTAAAGGTCCATGCCACTTAGGGTTTTAGGGTTATAGGGTTTTGGGGTTTTCGGGTGTTAGGGTTTTAGGGTTTTGGGGTTATAGGGTTTTGGGGTTTTCGGGTGTTAGGGTTTTAGGGTTTTGGGGTTTTAGGGTTTAGGGGTTTAGGGTTTTAGGGTTTAGGGTTTAGGGGTTTTAGGGTTTTAGGGTTTGAGGGTTTTAGGGTTTTAGGGTTTGAGGGTTTTAGGGTTTTCGGGTTTTAGGGTTTTATTGTTTTAGGGTTCTAGGGTTTTAGTTTAGCTTGGGGCTTCACAGGCTTTAGGGTTTTACAGGACCTAGGATTCAGCCTTGGGTTGAGAGCGCTCGAGAAACCAACTTTTTCAGAGCAATGAGCATCTAAAAACACTTCTTATATATATATATATATAGATGCAAATATATATATATATATATGTACACACACTTTATTTGCTTTTTGTTTTTTTTATCTCTCTCTCTCTCTCCCTCCCTTTGCTTTCCAACCCTGAACCCTGAACCCCAAAGACCACAACCTCAAACCACCAACCCTAAACACCCCAAGCAGTTCAAGCACCGTAAATGCCTTGAAGCCTAAACCCTCAGCCGCAAACCCTCAACCCGAACCCCAAACCCTAGACTCGAAACCCCGAACCCTTGTGAACCCAAGCGCCACTTAATCCCCAACCCCCGCCCCGAAGGCGAAACTCCCAAACCCCAAACTCAAAACCCCTAAACCCCTAAACCCCTAAACCCCTGAACCCCTAAACCCCTAAACGCCCTAAACACCCTAAACCCTTTAACCCCTAAACCCCTAAACCCCTAACACCCTAAACCCCTAAACCCCTAAACCCCCGAAACACCCGTAAACCCGTAAACCCCTAAACCCCTAAACCCTAAACCCTAAACCCTGCCAGCACCTTTCGGTGCGAGCTGCACGTCCCCGGTGTCCGGCGGCCTTTTGTTGCTTGGCAGAAGGGCTCCTTGCCTTTCGGGCTATGCCTTTCGGGTCGGGGGCCTCAAACAAACTCCATACCTCCCTAAACCCCAAACCCTGAACCCAACCCTAAACCCGAAACCCTAAACCCTGCACCCGAAACCCTAAATCCCTGACCCCCGAAGAACTTGAACCTGCAGTCTTCGTGCCCAACACCACTTGAAGGCCCCGCGGCAGCTGAAAGAAGTAGGGCAGCTCTTGAGGTAGATGTGCTAAGACAGATGTGGGAGGTTGTCAAAATTATGGTCCCGTTTTGGATCCCTGTTATAATACGGAACCCTATTTTGAAGGGTACCCCCAAAAGGGAGTAGAATTCTGACAGCCGCCCATGTAACCCTACTTTTAACTCCAACTGCCCACGGACCTTCAATTCAGGCCCAAGCCGGTACTTTTTCTAGCTCCTCGAACCCTCAAGTCCCAAAAGCCATACGCCCGAAGCACTAAACGCTGCTCATTACTGTACTTGTTGCGGTTTAGGGTCTAGGGTTTAGGATTTAGGGTTTAGGGCTTAGGGTTCAAAGCTCTGTGGAGGGGGCCGGGGTTCTCCAAATCATGTCCGCGTTCGGGTTCCTATTGCAGCGAGACCGACATTGTGTATGGTACCCGAAGAAAAGGCCCTAAACCCTAAACCCTAAACCCTAAACCCTAAACCCTAAACCCTAAACCCTAAACCCTAAACCCTAAACACCCTCATGCAAGCCAGGGTTCCCATGGAACCCTAAGCCCGAATCCCTCAAGACAAAATAGAACTAACTGTATGTGGTATCATTATGAATTTCTCACGCTATTTGTCTAAACAGCTGACAAGCCGAGTTGAAGCAAATTGATCCAAAGGGACTCTGGAAGACCTAAATCTCAATTTACTTACAACCTTCCACTCCAAGCTCCTAGTTCCCAACCGCTCAAAACTTTTCGTTCAACACTTTCGCTGGTCAAAAGCTCCGGGAAGATTAGCCATTAAAACAAAAACTTTCCCTCGACACGCTTCGTTCGAAACGTTTCGGTCAGAACGTTATTGGGACCCAAACCGAATGCAATTTCTATAAAACCCAGAAACCCTAACCCTAAACCCTAAACCCTAAACCCGAAACCCAGGGTTTAAACCGGATTTCAGGACTTAAGGGTCTTGGCAGCCCCCGGGTTGGGGGATTTGGGCTCTACGTTTGCAGAAGCGAAGTTAGACTAGAACCAAGAGTCAGAGGGTTTAGGGTTTCGGGTTTAGGGGAACCTAGGAATAAAAAGGTGGTGCTTTTTCTGGATTTTAGGGCTTACAAGGGAACCTAAGCCCCAAGAAGAGGAATCAGGGCCTACTCTGGGTCCTAGTAGAAGGCAAGGCCGTTTGGGCGACCTGGATAGACCTCCGGGCGCTTCCAAGTGGCCCACCTCGCTGGGAGGAGGATACGGTTTAGGCCTTTTGTGGCTTGTGAGGTTGAAGGGTTTAAGTAGGCGCTACAGGCTGATAGGGTTCAGGTTTCTTGGGCTTTATAGGGCCGAGGGTGACCGTTGAGGGTGGTTGAGGCTTTAGGGTCCTCCGCAGCTTCGATTGTACGGCTCTGGGGGTTGAGGAGGGGGGGAGGGGGCCCTTTCTGGCAGCCTCAGCATATTGGGATGTAGTAGTGAATGCTTCGGAACCCAGGGCCCCAGCAGGTGGAACCCCAAGACGCTGCACAGGGGGGTCCTCTGGGTTCTACAGTGGGGAAGCCCTGAGCTTCCGAGTTGGAGGTTTAGGGTTTAGGGTTTAGGGTTTAGGGTTTAGGGTTTAGGGTTTAGGGTTTAGGGTTTAGGGTTTAGGGTTTCAGGGGAAGGCTTCGGTGGCTTGGGAGAATCCCTCTCAAGCCGTGCCTGCTGATTGGCGCAGGACTCTCTGTTTCCGTTTTGGGGCTGTACAAGGAGTGCCCTGAGCCGCAGGGTGCAGGATTTACGGCACTGCAACAAGGGATTTCCAAAGAATGAGCCTGTTGCCAATATGTTCCATTCTTGTCTGCACAGTGGGGGTTTACGAAAATCGGGGACCCCTAAAATCGACCCCCAAGTAGTAGGACCCCCTTAACATAAGGACCTAAACCCTGTAACCCCTAAACCGCAAGCCCTGAACTCCAAAACCCAAGCGCTAAAACCCTTCCCCAAGCCCTAAGCCTGAAGCCGTAAACCCTAACCCCCTGAACCCCCAAACCCTGACCCCCTAACACCCAATCCCTAAGCCCTGAACCCCTCAACCCCTCAACCCCCCTAAACCCTAAACCCCAAGCCCTAAACCCCTAAACCCCTCAACTCCCTAAACCCTAAACCCCAAGCCCTAAATCCCTAAACCCTAAACCCTAAACCCTAAACCCCAAACCCCAAACTAAGTGTTGAAACCCTCAAAATCGAACTCCCAGCACCAAAACAGTCCAGGAGCCTCAGTGCCCGCGTCTCCAGGCGTGAAGCGGCAGCTGCCTGCACTGGAGTAGGGTTTAGGGTTAAAGGCTTGAGGGTTTAGGGTTTAGGGCTAGGGTTTAGGGTTTAGGGTTTAGGGTTTAGGGTTTAGGGTTTAGGGTTTAGGGTTTAGGGTTTAGGGCTAGGGTTTAGGGCTTTGGGTTTAGGGTTTAGAGGTTCAGGGGTTAGGGTTTAGGGCTTAGGGTTTGTTCACCAGGTTGTCAAACCTTGGCATTTCGGGTTTAGGGTTTAGGGCTAGTCCTACACTACTTCCCCAACTACGTCATTAAGCCTTACTTGGGGACTTAGTTTGGAGAGGAGTGCACTTGGGTTGAGGGCAATACTCATAAAATCTGCCCATCTCTGTGTCCACCTCATGTGGCCAATCCGTGAACCGTTGCAATACGCAGCCGGGCACTGTCACAAGTAAAGACTTACCCTAAACCCTAAACCCTAAACCCTAAACCCTAAACCCTAAACCCTATTCCTAAACCCTAACCCTAAACCCTAAGTGGTTGGTTGTCAAAATTATGATCCTTTTCTGCCTCTAAGGCCCGACTGATACTGCTTGCAGTTTCGGTACACACAAACACCCACCCAAGCCCCAAACATCAGCCCAGGGAACGTTGGGGCTTCCGAGCGTCCCCCAACCGGCCCAAGAGGTCACAACAAGGCTGGGTCTTAGGCTTCGGGTCAAGGATTTTAGGGTTTAGGGTTTAGGGTTTAGGGTTTAGGGTTTAGGGTTTAGGGTTTAGGGTTTAGGATTAGCCTGGACTTCGTGGTAGAGGCTCCGATTCATCTTGCTAAGGCTGGGTTTGGAGGAACAGGGCTAGTTTGGATTTATCATACAAGTGAGCGTGCAACCCAAAGCTGCCTAAGGATCGCAGATTTGTTTAGAACAAGCCAGCGAAACTCTCAACCCTAAACCCGCGCTCAGCAACCACACTCCCAAAGCCCCAAATGCCAGAAACACAACCCGCGAAGCAACTGAACCCTAAACCCTAAACCCTAAACCCTAAACCCTAAGAGCCAATCTCTTCAAGCTTGCGCGGCCTCGAGGCCCTGCCCCCTCCACTCCGTTGGGCAAGCCATGGGATGGAACTGTGAGAGATGGGCTGTTTAGGGCTCAAAGGGTTTAGGGTTTAGGGTTTAGGGTTTAGGGTTTAGGGTTTCGGGGTTGAGTCGCAGGGTTTTAGGGCTTGAGGGGTTGGGGGGTTGAAGGGTTTCAGGGTGCAGCGCTTTCGGAGGCCTGGCAGGTTAGGAGTTTAGGGGTTTAAAGGTTCAGGGGTTTCGGGTTTAGGGCCTTAGAGGGTTCAGGAGTGTAAGGCTTTAGGGTTTTCGGGGCATAGCAGGTTACAATGTCATGGTAAACATAAAGCTTGGGGGGGTTTAGGGCTTCAGGGTTTTGGGGTTGAGGGTGTGGGGGGTTAGAGTTGAGGGGTCTACTCGAAGCCCCGAGAAACCGCTTCAGGTCTGCGCTTACCCGACTTGTAACGTGACTCTAGAATGGAACTCACGCTGATTCCGAAGCCCTACGCTGTAAAGTCCTAAACCCTAAACCCTAACGCTAGACGCCAAAACCCCAAACCCAAACCCAGACCCCAAAGTCTAAACCCTAAACCCTCAACCCTCGCTTGGCTATTTGAGCCCCCTGAACTTTCAACCCGATCCGCCAGCCCCCCCCCCCCCCCCCCCCCCCCCCCCCTTACTTCCTCCCCCCGCCGCATGCAAACCAGCGGGGCTGCTTTTTGTTCCTCTCCAGGCTGCTACTCCGCTTTGTGTACATGGGGCGGCTTCCTAATGCGGGCTTGCTGGCTCTTAGAGAAGTTGGGTGCAGGGGTTCAGGGATGGTTTTCAAGGTTGGGTGTAGGTTGGCCTATCTGAAAACCCTACGTAAGAGCCTCTTATACCGAGTAACACGAAGCCCTGAGCTGCAGTTGTGGGTTGGGGGGGGGGGAGGAGGGCGTTGAGGTGCAGAGCCGGCTGTATAAGGCTCTGTGGGTTACTTCATGTAGTGGCCTAAACGATATGAACACTTTCATGTGGAGTAGGCTTTTGTCCCCGAAGCCCTAAACCCTAAACCCTAAACCCTAAACCCTAAACCCTAAACCCTAACCCTAAACCCTAAACCCTGAACCCTAGACTCTAAACCCTAAACCCAATGCCCTTAGGAAGCCATCCCTGCGGGTGAGTGTTGCACCGTCGCCAGCAGCTGCCTGCACCTTCACTGACTGGTCCTGTTCAACCTAATACAAGCCTGGGTTACTTAGGGTTTAGGGTTTAGGGTTTAGGGTTTAGGGCACGAAGCCCTAAAAGGCAGGTCTGCCCCCCTTGTAATGTCCGCAACAGGACATTGTGGACTAACTAGTGGTATCCCCGTAACGCGAAATCTTTACTGATGCCTCTTGTTTATTTGGGACATCTACAGTCTAATTTTAAACAACCCTATGCTTCCTGAGGGCTAGGCCTCCACCCCCCGCACCCCCCCCCCATTCCCCCCCGCCCCAAGAAAGACAGAGAGAGAGAGACAGTGAGAGAGTGAGAGTGAGAGAGAGAGTGAGTAAGAGTGAGAGAGAGAGAGCGAGAGAGCGAGAGAGCGAGAGACAGAGATGCGGAGAGAGAGAGAGAGAGAGAGGGAGAGAGAGTGAGTAAGAAAGTGAGTAAGTGAGTGAGTGAGTGAGAGTGAGAGAGTGAGAGTGAGAGTGAGAGAGTGAGTGAGCGTGAGAGAGACATACAGAGAGAGAGAGAGAGAGTTGGAAAGTTAAGGAGTTAGAGAGAAAAGTATAGAGTTAGAGAGTTGGAGAGAGGTTAGAGTAGATACAACCACGTTTGGCCCCCAAAACCATCCACACACACACACACATGCACAGTAGTTGTCTTACGCTCCAAGATTGGGTGCAGGCGCTGCGGCTCTGGCGTCTTATTACAGGAGTGGGTGCAAGAGGGGGTTTAGGGTTTAGGGCTTGGGGTTTCGGGAGTATTAGGATTGAGCGTCTGATGTGAGGATTGACCCACGAATCCTAAACACCTAGGGCCCTAAAGTCCTTTGCATACCAGTGTGCAGGTCCTCCCTGCAACTTATCGGGTTTTAGCGTGTAGCGATGAGCGCCCTAAACACCCCAAAGCCCCCCAAACCCTACACCGCCAGACCCGAAATTTTGACCACAGCCAGACAGTAATCTACACTTTAAGCCTCAAGCCCCCTTAAGGAGGGGGGTTATGGGGGATGGTTACCAAGGGGACCTTAGGGAAGCTTAGGGAGCCTTAGGGAGCCGTGGCAAGTACTCGGGAAACTTGAGTTACGTAACCCTCTCCCTTAAGAACTCACCTTAACTGCCAAAGTAAATCTTTTGTTCTGTAGGGCTGCGTACGTGAACTCCGAGAATTTCTTGGAGAGTCAGCTGGTATCTGTGCGGGTTCCGAGCGAGGGTAGGAAGAAATCTTGAACAGCTCAGAAACCGTACCCAACCCCCCCGTCCCCTAAAGCGTCAAACCTAAACCCTCATGTTGCACCCGCAACATTCTAGGGGGCCGCTATTATGAAAACTTTTTCGGCTATTCAGGATCTTGGCCCTTTGTTTTGGGGGTCCGCTATCGGGCCTGTTTTTTTTTAAGGGTTTCAGGAAGGCATAAGCTCGAGAAGAGGGGATACTTGAAGCCTGAAGCCTCATCTCCGAAAATATTCTTTTTTCAGGGCGCCTTTTCTTTATAAATTCCTTTTCAAAAGCTATAGGAGGCCTCCGGACATACTTTAATACCTTTGTTTGGGGGCCGGCTATAATGCAAGTCTCCCGGGGCCCGGGGCTCAGTCCTTCGGTTTTCAGGAAGGCATAAGCTTTCTCGAGAAGAAGGGATACTTGAAGCCTGAAGCCTCGACCGTTCCAGGGTCGGGGGGTAGCTTACGGATGCCTCCGGACCCCTTCACTGCCTGACTGTTTGGGGTATTTTTATTCAGGGTTCTCGTCTGTTTGGGGGGGGGGGGGTTACATTATTAAAGCAGGTCCAACATTATCGGGTTGGGCTAAGGGCTGCGGGCTAGTTAAGTGCGTTCTGATCGCTCTGGGTGAGAAGGCGAGAAGCTCAGATGCTTTGCACATGATGCTTCCAGCTGCTTGGCGCCATTGCGGCCATGGTGTAGGCTGAGGTAGGATTGGAAGATTCCCCTAACCCCTAAACCCTAAGCCCCAACAACCCTAAACCCTGAAAGGAGTACCGGTCAAAGGGCTTGGATAGCGGCTTGGAGCGCCAATGTGCAAAGGAATAAAACCCCCCCCCCCTACCCCCTAATATAAAATGTTCCCATGATTGCTGTCTTGTCTTTTATATGAGGGGGTCGTAAGGGGGTTGAAATACTGGTGGGAGGGTGATTATCCGCTGTGGAGATTCTTCCTGGTCACCATGTTGTCTCGCAGCAGCGGGGACCTGAAGTTGACGTGGTGCTCAACTAAGGTTTTTGAGCGATGGCCCGACACCCTAAACCCTAAACCCTAAACCCTAAACCCTAAACCCCAAACCCTAAACCCTAAACCCTAAACCCTACACCCTAAATCGCAAACAGCCCAGTAGCCCGCCCCTGAAGCCGGACCCTTGCAACCCGACAACCCCCTAAGCGGGCCTTGGGGGTGCTTCCCGGTTTGAGAGCTTAAGGTTTAAGATCCTGGGATACGGGAAGCTCAAACCGAAGTAGCCAACTCGCACAGGCGTCAGGAGATTCCCCCCTTTTCCAGCCCCAAGCAGGGGTTTAAAGGGGTTGGGGTTTAGGATGTACCAACTGTACCCGTGTCCAAAACCTCTGTAAACCCAGATCAAGCAACTGGCTGAGTACCCAACACCATCTTCCTCTTGTGCTTGGCCTTCAATGATCGCCTCCGTCGCTTCGTCGCCTGTAGGGTGTGTGGAAGAGATGCCGGAGAAGCCAAGACCTAACGCTGTAAACCTTATATAAGCCCTGAGACATAAGCTCTAATCCATAGCGAGACGCAGGAGATCACCGAAAAAGGAGCCGCCAGATCAAGCAGAGCAACAGAAGCCTTCATAAGCCTTGGGCTCGAGTATCCCTAAACCCTAAACCCTAAACCCTAAACCCTAAACCCTAAACCCTAAACCCTAGTCTGCACTACCGGGTTCTCTTGTGGAGGCCTCTCAAAATCCCCTAAGAACATCAACCAGGTCCTCAGAACCTGCCCTGGAAACAAACCCGGCCCTGAGGAACCAAGCACTGCGTAGAATTGCTGGGGCTTAAGAAAAGGGGTTCAGAGGCTTAGGGTTTAGGGTTTAGGGTTTGGGGTTTAGGGTTTTCAATAATTTTAAAGGGAAAGGGGGGTGGGGGTTAACAGGCCAAAAGGAGCCACCAAGCGCAACATGGACCCGCCTCCAAAGCCGTCTCTGGGCGAGCTGGCCTTGGATTCCGTGGATGACTCTGGGTTTAGGGTTTGGGGTTTAGGGTTTGGTTTAGTTCATGAGTCCCTCGGAATAGCGAGCTTCAAGTGGAAACCCAAAACTCCAGCCCTGAGTACCCGCAAACCCTTAAAGCTTAAGTGGCCGCTCAAGCTCAACCAGCCAGAAGGCGACAACCTAAACAGCTACACCCCAAGATCCACCAAACCATCGCCACCCCCAAGGAAGGCTTAACTTACTTTACTTCGAACATCCCCACCTTAGGGATTTGGATTTGGGCACTCCAGGGAGTCTCTGGGGTTGCAGGGAGACTCTGGGGTTGGGCACTCCAGCGAGTCTCTGAAGTCCAGGAGTCTCGAAGTTGGACACTGGAGGGAGAGTCTCGGGTTGGGCACTCCAGGGAGAGTCTGGGGTTGGGCACTCCAGGCTCCCGGGAGTCTCTAGGAGTAGACCGGGCGAGGCGAAGAGTTGAGTTTAAAATATAACAACCCCCACACCGAAGGTGGGCAAAAAGGGCAATACTTTCAGCCCTCCAAACGAATGACCTGAATAAGATCCTCTACACCCTGCAAGACTAATTAATGCTCTGAAACCCTCAAGCTAAAGTCCAAATCTAAGGTTACTACATGCTCCCTTGGTATGGTCCCTGAACAGGGGACTCCTTATATACCCTATACCCTAAACCCTAAACCCTC